ATTGATTTTGAGAGAATACAAGTCAAATTTTCTTTCTTTGTCTTTTTACATCAAATTTCCTACCAACAATATGAAAATAAAATAACAAGCTATATGAAAATGAGTTTAGAAAACTTCTTAATGAATAGGAAGAACTGTAGAAGATGATGAGGATAAGATCCTCAGTTGCAATTGAAAGCCTCTTCTTGCTGTAGAAAACTTCTTTTGAAACAGACCAACAAAACCAGCTTAAACACTTGGTAGAAAACTTCTTTTGAAACAGACCAACAAAACCAGCTTAAACACTTGCTAATCTTTTGATAAAACTCACTGTAAACAAAACCAGACCAACAAAACCAGCTTAAACACTTGCTAATCTTTTGATAAAACTCACTGTAAACAAAACTCTTAGTTATATGAAAGAGGAAGGCACTGGGATATTTATACCCACTCAAGACATCAGCCAAAACCACATTAAAAATACCAAAATACCCCTAGAGAATCAAATCAGAAAATAGCTGTTGCAACACAACGGTCAATTCGACGGTCGATCGTGAAAATCTGGCGGTCGACCGCGAAGAGCAAAAAGCAGGAGAACTGTTCTGAAAAGCAGGCGGTCGACCGCGAAAGACTCTGGATGAGCCACGGTCGACCGCCACGGTCGATCGCGAGCCATAAAAAGGTAAAATGGGATTTTGAACTGCAGGCGGTCGACCGTGGCGGGCGACCGCAAACTGACACAGAGATTTTTACAGGTTTTTGGCTGACTTTAAAAATACAATAAAAATATTAAATCAATTCCAAAAATAGTAAAACTTTGGGAAAAGTTTCTAAATGATAAAATAAATATGTTTGAAAATGAATTTTTGGAAATACAATTTTCGTTTGTGAAAACTCACTGTTTTTGAAAAGTGTACATAAAACCTGTTTTTCGTGAACACAAAAATTAAACTATGACTTGTAAACTTGTGTATATATATCATGCATACATTATATATATATTATGAAGTATGAGAGAGATGTAAATATAAAATAAAAACTATTGTAACAAAGTTTGATAAAAAATTATTTGTATGATAGAAAAAATCAAACTTGTGTTGTGTTTACATATTGAGCTTAAATATAGTCATACAATATATGTAAGTAAACTTCTCTTATACGTAGGAGAAAGCGCATACATGAACTTGAATCTTTAACTCTTGATCGCCATGTGTTGAATTCCTGTAAAGAGAAAAACAAACCACAAAAACTAGAAAATAGATTAGCTATAAATTGTTTGACAAATCATCATCAAAACCATAGGGCCAACATGAACTGTCAAACTTCTCAATCTTAGATTTGATTTCCTCTGCCATGGCTCTCTTTCTCACAAATTTGCTGAACGAAGCTCTGATACCAGTTGTTGGGGAATCGAAATAATCAAATCAAATCTGTACCCTTCCTGATCTTGTGTTTGAGAGTTGAGCAAGAAAGAAATTCACCACAAATCAAAGATAAAAACTTGTAGGAAAGTAAACAAGAAAGAATACACCAGATTTAACGAGGTTCGGTAACGTGCCTACATCCTCGGGAGCCACACCACACAATTCATTGATTAATTAAAGAATATTACAATGCTTGCAATTGGCCTCTCTCTCTCTCTCTAAGATTTCTGATCTCAAAGAGCCCTCAAAACCCTCTTTTTCGTGTTCTTTTTCTCTCCTAAACCCTAGAGGGATGTGTTTCTATTTATATCAAAACATAATTCCAAACAGATTAGAATTCTAAAACGAGTCTGCTACACTCGGGTGTGACATGCACCACATCTATGACAAACAGGACAGATTCTGCCACACCAGGGTGTGACAGACACCATATCCATGACAAACAGGACGGATTCTGCCACATCAGAGTGTGGCAGACACCACACCCATGGCAGACAGGGCATATTCTGCCACACCCTACCACATGGGTGTGGCAGATACCATACCAGGGTGTAGTGGAGTCCGTCTTGCTTATTTTTCACGTGTTTGTTGATTTTGATTCTAGGTTTGGGTCTCCACTCTCAAGACCAATAGTTGCGACAACAGTTCCAAAACATCCCTTAGTTATAAAATATGACTTACCCAAATTTATTTGCCCTTAGTTACAGTAAGCAATCCTCACGTCCAAAATAGCCATAAGCCATAGTTATAATTTTATTTGCAACTTATCCAAATTTATAAAAAATCAAAATTATTATTTAATATTTTAAAACCCTAAAGAATTCATTAAAGATTTAAAAATAGTTTAAAATATAATTATAAATAAATTTTGCAACTTATCCAAATTTACAAAAAATAAAAATTATTATTTAATATTTTAAAAACCTAAAGAATGCATTAAAGATTTAGAAATAGTTTAAAATATAATTATAAATAATTGTTTTTTAAAACATTATTTTTTAGAAATATATATATATATTTTTTTTGAAATATAATATTTTTAAAATCATATTAATGTTATTAAATTTTTTTTGAAACTTATATTTTTTTTAAAAATATTGTTTTCTCAAAAAAAAAATTTTAAAAAAATATTCTATAGAAATATTTATTAGACTTTATAACTTTTTAAAAATCTATTATAATTTTTTAAAATTATCTTTCAATAATTATTATTTAGAAAATTTGAAAATCAATTTTCTTAAAAATAAAAATTAATTTTTTAAAATGACATATTTAAAAAATGTAAAAAATAATTTTATTAATTTATTTAAAATATATAAAGATTTTCATATGTAAAGTCATAAGCAGAATCAAATAGGTGCAACACCAAGCTGCAAAATTTAAAATTTGAACCAAATAACTACAATGTAGTTGAACGCAAGAATAAATTCGACGTTTCAGTTGTATTCAAGTAACACTTGCATTGTAACTATATTTGCAAGCTACCAAACTTAATCTCAATCAAATGAATGCAGTAAAGTTCTTCCTTTATCATAATATATGAGAAGATACTCTTATATTATATCTCACCAATATTGTTCTCTTTGAAATCTCTTCTTTTCGGTGTAGATAATTTTCCTCCAATCTCTTTCTCTCAAATTTGTCACATGTTGTCTTTCCTTCCCTCGGTATGGATTCAAACAATGAGGAATACGATCCAGCGCCATTCAATACCAGGACTTAGATCGTACTATCATATATCAGACTCACGTTATGATCCAAAGTAACATCCTACAAGTTGGGAGCACTCAGTTACATATAGAATAAGATTCATCGAAGTCTTCTCAAAATCATGAAAATTGTATTTTCACAAGTTTCAAATGTAAGAACTTTCTTTTGTAAAAAAAAAGGAGTATTACCAATCATTTTTTGTTTCATTTTTAAGATTTTATTGATTGATGGTATAAAGCGTCACGCGTCACCCAAAAAAAAAAGGGAAAAAAAAGGCTTGAAACAGAGAGAGATGGGGGTGTGTGAGGGCTAAATTGTCCTTCTCCCAAACTAAAACAGGCCAAGTCCATTCCAGAAACACCCTCAACATCAAAAGGGCATTTTCGGCAATCCAACTCACAAAATTACTGTTTGAGAGTGGATATAGCAAACATGCATCTTGACACGTTTGATGCACAATTGGTTGAAAACTTAGTTGTAATTCGTCATCTTGATTGTGGAGTCAGTTCTTCAAACCTTTTGAGAAATGAATTTTAAAGTTTTTGTCGGTGAAATAAATAGAAATTTAGATTTTATTAGTGAGTGATGTAATTAATTATGGAATTAGCATGTATCTCTGTATGGATTCTTCTTGAACGCCTGGAGCCCGATACTCTCTCAAATCTTCAATAATTGCTATTTGTTCCTCAAATCTTTGGAAATTGTATATTAGCCCCCTTAATTTTTCAATAATTGCATATTAGTCCCTCACATCTTAAAAATTACATATTAGTCCCTCACATCTTAATAATTACATATTAGTCCCTCAAACCTTTTAGGGTCTTGCAAAATGGGCTCTTTATGGTGTGTTTGGGAGTTTACTTTTAGGGAAGGGAAGGAAGGGGGAAAATTCCCCTTCCTTTCCTTCCCCTCCATTACACCCCAATTTGGGGTGTAAGAATTTGGGTCAAATTTCCCCTCCATTCCTCTCCTCTACCTTCCAAAATAAAACTCCCAAACAATGTTAAAATGAAATTTCTCTTCTCTTTCCCCTCTCTACCCTCCATCCAAACAAGCCATCAGTTATTACTTTAGTTAAAAACCTTATCATAGTTGGATTAACTCTTAACCTAAAATCTGCAATCGCTAAATTATCCCTCTCTCCGATGTTTCAAGCCTTTGCGAAAGCTCAACTTTGGGTTAGGATTTTCTGTTAACCGTTGGAGAAGAAGAACTCGAGTGAATTTGGATTCATTTTAGGCAGGCATTGGGTTTAAACCTATTAAAAGATGGGTCGCGGAACGTTATAAATTGTTAAAATAGTCACTTTGCCTCAAAACGTTAGATTTGAAGGAATATTCCCCGAAATCTAATGTGAATTAACTTGAAGGACCATGTTATAAGAGCCTATAGGAATTGAGAGACTAGTATGCAATCTCCAATATTTAAGGGACTAATACACAATTATTGCATTGTAAGGGACTAATATGTAAATGTCAAGATTTAAGTTACTAATATGCAATTATTGAGTGATCAGGGGACTAACATCTAAAAGCCCCACTATACTACGAGCCTATGATTATTTGTCGGATCTTCGACTTTTCAGAACCCAAACCCGTTAAAAGTGTGAGGCAGTGTACCATTCGGATCCAAGGCCCACAACAGCAAAAGAGGGGAAGAAAATAAATAAATAAATAAATAAATAAATCACCGCTTCAGACTTCAGCGGAGTGTGAGTTCTCGATGGCGATCTGCGCTCCTTCCTCGGATTCGTCGTCGGCGGGAAGCAAAAGTGGCTGGATTGTGCACGGTCTTCTCCTGGGCGCGGCCATCGCGGCGGCCGCCGGAGCCCACGTGGCCCTGGGCCTCCGCTGGTTCAGTAGAAAGTCCCGGTCCAAAGTTATCGGGATTATCCCGGCCCGGTTCGCCTCCTCCCGGTTCGAGGGCAAACCCCTCGTCCCAATCCTCGGAAAACCCATGATCCAGGTACTTATTATTACCATTTTTATGAAATTGCTTCTTCTCCTCCTCCTCCTCTTAATTTTGCGCTCACAGGATAAAATCACATTCGTTCTTGTGTGGGAACTTTTTATTTTCTTTTTAAATAGAGAACTTGGGAGAGAACAAAGCTGGCCTCTACTTTGGACCACGTTGGTAAGTTCTCAATGCCCTTTTCTGTTGTTTTACGGCCTGTTTGGATGGAGGGTAGAGAGGGGGAAGGGAAGAGAAATTTCATTTTAACCTTGTTTGGGAGTTTCATTTTGTAGGGTAGAGGAGGGGAATGGAGGGGAAATTTGGCCCAAATTCTTACACCCCAAATTGGGGTGTAATGGAGGGGAAGGGAAGGAAGGGGAAAAATTCCCCTTCCTTCCCCTTCCTTCCCTTCCCTAAGTAAACTCCCAAACACACCATTAATTAATTTTGACTAATGATTCGATGACTTTTTAGCTTTGATCTCAGTTTGAATAGTGTTGTTATCTTATCTTTTTAAATTTAAACTAATTGTTTTTTTTTCTCCCTTTCTGTTTTTGAGATGTTGAAGGATGAGAGCTTGTATTATTGTAAATTTACACGTCTTTATTTGTATGCTTGTGTGCACACCAACATTTATAATACGTGTTCAAATATTGAAATGACCCAAATGCTTGATTGGGAGAAGGAAGCCTCTATACATTGAGTGTTTCTTTGTGAAGAGGAGATACAAAAGCTACCAGAAAAAAAAACCCTCTCATCGGAGCCCCAAAAGAATACCTCAATCTCTTCTTTCTCCTCTAAAATATCACATTGCTCCCTTTATTTACCATGGCCATTGAGTGAATCTCGTCGATGATATCATACTGTCATAGGATCGAGTGGATCCATACAATATTGTGCTGGTTGTGGCCCAACGAAATGTATGTATGCGTTGAGATTATCTTTTACAGAAAGGGCGCTTCAGGGATGGATAGCATAGATAATAGAGCAGTCTTGAGGTATAGATGGCATCAGGGAATTGGGTTGAGTTAATTTTGTGTTAGTATTAGGGCCAAACAGAACAAGATGGTGGATATACTATTTTTAGCATCATGATGGTGTTGTTTGAATGGATACAACTATTTGGTGGACATACTGGTTTTAATAGAAAGAAAACTAGAGTTGAAAAGCCAATCACCAGTAAAGTCAAAATTTTGTGACATGTAGGGTGATCCTGGTTCCTTGCATAGTTGGTATATATGCACACTACTCATCCTCATTGGTGTTTTCTTTGATTTTGAAATGGATAAGTGGAGGATTGTTTGATGCTGCTGGGACTTTTTCACAATGAATAGTACATACACTACGTTATAAATTCTGACCCGAAGATAAGGAATAAAGGCATCATATTATTACGGAAGTTGCCAAGGGTTTCGGGCAACTTGAACTATTTCTGCAAATCAAAGTTTATGGCTTTCTGTTCAAAACAATGCTATTGCTAAGTCTTAAATTTTATAAAATAAAAAAAGCTTCATGTTTTCTGGTCCTTGATTCCTGGGGGCCAAACTACTTCATAGTGGAAATTTACATTTTGGTGAATCTGCTGCCTGATGAGGAATATAGTCTTTGCTAGCATTATCTCTATGATTCTGGCTACTGAATATGTTTGTGACTGTTGAAAGAAACGAAGAGAATGTTTCTCACCATAGTGAAATACAATTTTGCATTTCATGTTGTCGACATTGTTGGCATCTACCTCATCCCTAAGCTACCGTGAAGGTGTTATAGCTTGTGTAGTGGCCCTAACTAAAACTAATACCTCTAGCTTACAATTTTTGTGGCGTGTTGATTAAAAATGACAATAGAACGTGTCAAAAACTGAAGTAAGGTCTATTATGACCCATGCTTTTAGCATATATGTCTTAGTGGAGGAGTATCCTGGCTCTACTATATTAATTCTAGAACTGATTCACCGCTATCTTTTGCCTTCTAATGCAGTTGTAGCAACAGATGACGAGAGGATTGCAGAATGTTGTAGAGGATTTGGAGCAGATGTAATAATGACAGCAGAATCTTGCAGAAATGGTATCTTCGTGAATTTTATGTCGCTTGTTTTCTGGTAGGACTCCTCCACACTTGCATACCCCTAAACGTTTGGAACAACAGGAACTGAACGCTGTAATGAAGCACTTAAAAAGCTTGGAAAGAATTATGATATTGTTGTAAATATACAAGGAGATGAGCCTCTTATTGAACCAGAGATAATTGATGGTGTTGTTAAAGCTTTACAGGTGATCATCTTTGCTACTATATATTGGTTGTTATGTTCTCATTGAAATTGATATATCTGGAGTTTCACAAGTGATTAGATTGTGGCTATAGTAAGAGGCAGCTATCCAAATTATTTGCTTGCAGCCTGTAATATTTCGTTCATTTCTGTGGCACCATATTACTCAATACAGTCTTCCTGTCTCCAATTTGTATTATTTAGCTCATTTGTTGCCTTTTGTTAAAAGTTATATTGTGGTAATGGTTAACCCATAACGAAACATTATATTAACCATCCAACATATTGACTGTATTAGTTTTTCTAATTCATATTAGCTACTGCATGTTATGGGCTATAGGGAGCTCCAGATGCAGTCTTCAGCACTGCTGTCACATCTTTGAAACCAGAGGATGCACTTGATCCGAATCGTGTTAAATGTATAGTAAATCATCATGGTTATGCAATCTATTTCTCCCGGGGATTGATCCCTTTTAACAAGTAAGTTTTTTGGTAGCTTTTTATTTGGTTACAGTGTACTATTCAATTTTTCTTCCCTGTAATCTATGTATTTTGTATGTACATTATCTTATTAATTCAGGTCAGGGAAAGTTAACCCGCATTTTCCATATCTGCTTCATTTGGGAATTCAGGTTTGATCATTCATTCTGAATGCTTTTATGCTACAATAGTATACTATTATTTATTTCACCTCTGTGTGCCCTCATGCAAGTTCTATGTTTTGCTTTCAAAATGTCTGCTAATTCCAATATCCTTGTTCGAAACAGAGTTATGATTCAAAGTTTCTGAGTATCTATCCAGAACTTCCACCCACTCCCTTGCAACTAGAAGAAGACCTTGAACAACTTAAAGTTCTTGAGAACGGGTATAAAATGAAGGTAATTTCATGAATTTTGAGTGACATAGGACTTCATGGCAAAGGAAACATGTCAGTATGCTGTTGTTGAACTACTTTAGTGAGCTCCGACACATTCGCTGAGTATATATAGTTCAAAAAATAATAAGACTGGTTCCAGCTATGTTTGACAAACATTACTTTCTTTGTTGGAATTATCTATGACTTTGCAGTTGATCAGGAAAATCAATTAATGATTCTAACATTTCTATCCATGTTCATGCCTTGATGTTCCTCTGCTGTTTTTTTTCTTTTGGTAAAGCTGACATGCGGTAGCAAGTATGTATGTCCCTATACTGTTGTAACTGTCAAAAAAATTATTCTACCAGTTCATTACCATGCCTTAGGCTCACTATGATTTCAGAGGATGACTAGATATTTGAATGCATAAATGCTTATCACGTTGTTGTATGTGAATGACTTCACAAATCTTGTTTTGTTCCAGGTAATTAAGGTCGATCATGATGCCCACGGTGTAGACACTCCTGAAGATGTTGAGAGAATAGAATCATTGATGCGGGAAAGAAACATTTCATAATGAAGAAGTGATCATGGTGCAAGAAATGTGATGCCATCCCTGAAATAGTTCCTATCTCAGTTGTTTTCTTCTCGGAGACGGTCCGTATCAACCAAGTAGTGGCAGCTAATCTACTAGCAGATTCTCCTTTCACAGTTCTTGTCTTTCCATTGTGTTTACTCCTTAGGTTTGTGTAATGTTTTGTATCCCCATAATGATGAAAAATAATTAAGAAAATGTGATATTTTCCATGTATCTTTTTGCTAAGCATACCCGATATTGCATCAGTGAATTCTTTGTTTAAGACAGGCCCGTGGGGGGGAAATTTTTTTTTTCCAGTGGCAGAATTTTTCGTAACAGATTTGAGACTTCGTGTGTGTACTTTTTCTCGTTTGTTCAATTGACTGTTTTCAGACAGGAGAGGTCTTAATGAGTGATATGAAGAAGTATAATGACAAATAAAGAAAGGAATTGTCTCAAATGAGAAGCTAGCTTGGACTGCTGGTTTCTTTTATTCTGGATATTGCCATTATCATTGTGCTTTTAGCAGCTATATCCACTGTTATACGGTTAGCTATTTTCCATGATATCTGTTATAAGAGGACTATGCCAAATTGCTTCGAAAATATACTACGTTATTAGCGAGACGTCGATTTGTTCGGCAAAGCCTAATTGTTACTGCTGCAGCATCCTGAAAATGAAACATCTGTTATGTGCCTCTTTACTCCCACCTTTTTTGTTCACTTTAGAAATCAAGTCCACATTTTAGGAAGTATGAATTTGAAGAAAAAAAATTCTATGGTGAAAAAAATGATTTTGAGACCTATAGATTCGAAACCAACGATCTTTAGCGCAAATGCGATCTTATAATCTTGGAAGCATCAAGATCCCTGTGGGTGATACGATGATCTCTGAGAAAGCAACTCATCGCTATTCTTCTCTTGCTGCAACACTCTTTTTATATCTCTCTGAGCTTTGTTTGTTCATCTGAGTAGTTTGCCGCAAAGCACTAATTGCCATGAGCATCTTGCAGACACCCAAGCCGCTTTCAACGTTATTATATCTACTTGGAACTCATATAGCGAACTCCTCTCAGCATTCAACGCAAGCAGTTACTGTAGGCATGAGAACTTGCAGTACTCTTGGACATAAGTACTCATACCCACACAAATACCATTACACAAGCATGCCCGTTGATTTACCCATGCAGATTCACATACATATACACATACATACAGACATACAGGTGGACAAACGAGCAAGTATCCAATACACATACATCGATGTGCTGTTCCAAGACGAAACAATATGTGTGAAGCTCATTAATAACAGTTCCAAACTTGATCTGCCTAGGATGAGACTCTTCGACTTCTTTCCGCTCAACCTAATTTCCATCATGATCATCATGTCATACAGTTAGTATGGTCCTCAGGAAGGTCATGGGCTTATGCTTTAGGGTTGTGAACATCCTCAAATTCGTTGAACACTAAGGGTGTAATCTTTCAAAACTGGGTCAGGTTCAAACCTGGCCCAGTTTTAAAATACTCTTTGTTTGGCAAACAACAGGGCCACAGCCAGATCTGGCCCTGTTTTCATAAGCCAAAATATGGCCTTAAACTAGTTTTCTTTTGGACCAAGGGAACACAAAACTGCGTCAGGACTGGTCCTAACCCAGTTTTGTATAGTTTGTGAAACACACCCTGAATTTTTTTGAGACATATTGCAATCGTCCAAGAGAACAAGAGAGCATATAAATCTCAGTAGAGTAATTCTCTCCATTTATACTATATACTTTATAGGACGAACTGAAGTTAGAAAACACAGAATAACCCAGTCACTAAATAGCTACCTGGTTCCACTTCCAAAGATGAACAGACCATTTTCATGGATCGATTCTTAAGTACTACTTTATAATTCCAACAAGCACTATTTGCAAAGGTTGAAATCAGTACCTAGAGGGTCTATCTGAGTTGGTAAACTGCTCCAAGGCCTCAGGTTTGACTCTGTTGGGAAGCACGCACAAGTTTTTGGAATACCCGAAGCCGTGCGTTAGGGATACCTCTTAGCCATGCTCGGAGGTTTGATACCCATGGTATGAAGGATTGTTGAGAAATCCCAAACCCCTAACAAAAAAAAAAAACAGCCAAAAAAAATGACGTTGAAATCAGTTATAATTGGGTAAATTAACTATTCCACATTGAGTACGCATGCCATTTTAGCATTGCCCAGGAACACCACATCACCAATCTTATGTGGTGGGCTTGGTCTACTAGATACTTTCTCGTGCTGGAAAGGATCACTGATGGTGTACCTATGCATGGATGGACATGGTTTTTTCTCAAGGTTTGACACATCTCTTCCCATTAGACAAATCATGGGTAGCATGATAATCAACAAAACTATATTTTGTCAGGGCACCACACTTACCTTCACAAGATAAATTTGCCACAACTCTTCAAAAGTTCAAAGAATTAATGAGAACAAGCCTGAGGAAGAATGCTCACAAATCAACATTAAATAGCAAAAAGACTTAAAAGAGTTTGGTAAATAAAGGATTTCATTTCATGAACGATGCAAAACTATGATAACAACAATTAAGAGTCAAACATGCTACACAAACAGCAACAAGTTAAAATGGTAAGATGAACACAATCTTTCTATTTTCTTTCCATTCTTCTGTAGTGTGATTGACACTGAATCATCAACATTCATTCCTACAAATAGATCATATTAAAACAAATCAAAGGAGAATAAGCAAACATACAAAACTTATGATAAGTTTCTAATACATCGCAACGCCTACCAAATGTCATAGGTAAGCTAGAAAAATTGCCTCCGAACGTTACATTGATACAAACAGAGCTTATACCAGTTTGTATAATTGTGACTCAATACCACTGGGGAAAACATTTCCACATTATCAAAATCTAGAAGATAAAATAATAATAATGATAATAATACAGAAGAGGTTTTAATGGCTGAACTAAATGTATAAGAAGTCAAAATGAGGGGGGTACCTACTCATTTGCCTCATCAATCATCAACCTCAGCCTTTATTTCTTTCAGAAGTTCATCCTTGTAATCTTCAAAAGAACCCGGGAACTTATTCACAGTTCCTTCTTCAACAACCCATATCTCGCTATTCTCCTCATTCTCACAAACCCTTGATATCAACCTTGAATCATGGCTCACCAATACAACCCCACCAGTAAATTCTTCCAATGCTTCAGCCAATGCATCAATACTCTGCATATCCAAATGATTTGTAGGCTCATCGAGCAAAAGAATGTGAGGCTTTGACATGGAAATTGAAGTGAATACAACCCGAGCTTTCTGGCCACCAGATAATTTAGCAATTGGAGTAAGATGGTTATGGCTCGGGAGCCCAAACTTTCCAAGCTTAGCACGAACAGCCTCCTGCTTACTAAACCCTTCTTGTTCAGGATGAAGCCGGAGAAGATATTCAACAGCATTCTCTTCCATTGTCAAAAGATCCACAAAATGCTGCGAGTACCTGCCAATTCTTAATTTCTGACTTCTCCTAACTTCTCCCTCAGTAGGCACTAAATCTCCAGCAAGCAAATTGAGAAGGGTTGACTTACCAGCTCCATTAGGCCCAACAATGGCGACCCTTGTCCCCATATCAATACCCACATCAACATCCGAAAGCCTGAAATCTGGTCTATTTGGATAACTAAAGCTCACTTCAATCAGCTGCAACAATGGTGGAGTGAGCTCAGTAGGCTCAGGAAAGTGAAACTCAACACTGTAATCCCTCCATTTTTTGGGCACCTCCGGTGGTGCTTCATCGTCATCATCAACAGCCTTCCCTTTCCCTTTGCTCTTCTTCGAAGCTTCTTTGGCCGCCACAAACTTTGCTCGGTCCTTCACTTTGTCCTGTTGAGCTCTGCTCCCTGTCCTTCTCGCTGCCTTGAGCTGCTTATCATAAGTTTCAAACTTCTTATTCATCTCCTTCCTCTTTTGCTCATACCCAGTTTCAAAGTCATCAAAATTTCCTCGGTAGAAATGCAGTTTTTGATCATGGAGATGGATAACTTCATTGCATACTGTATTCAGAAAATCCCGATCGTGGGAAACCACCACCAGGGTCTTCTTCCATCTACACAAGTACTCTTCAAGCCAAAGCACTGCTCTCAAATCAAGATGATTGGTCGGC